GTTGAAACCAGGGACAAGGGGGGGAGAAGAAGGAGGTGGAGGAGGGAGGAGGGGGGAAGAGTCTGAATAGTTTTGCTTTGCCGCCACCACCTGGAAACGGGGGAGGGGGCTTCAGTCTTCCCCCTCCGCCGCCTAGTGCCAGTGAGGCGAGACGGCAGAAGAGGTTGTCGGCGCAGCAGATGGGGTTTGATGATGGGGTCAATGGGGAGTTTGCTTGATGGAGGAATGATATGAGATGGGCATCTGAGCAAAACAGCAAAGCGAGTCAAGTGTTTGGCGGTGGTCAGCTATGATAGACAACACACTAGAGTATATATTTGCAAAACATATGGGGTAGGTAGGGTAGGTAATTTATAGTACAAGTTTTCCCTGCTTTCCAGTACCAGTCTGATCTGATCGTAACTGCTCATAATAAGATAACGAAAAAGCAAAAACGCCAACAAAACATTCCCAACACGCCCCCCCACCGCCGCCCCCAACCTCTTTTATATGTTGTTTGTTTTGATGATGCTTATTTATACATACCCCTCTCTGTCCCTACTCTTGTCAGGTTATCACTTTCTAATAAAAGTCTAAACCTTTCTTCTGTCGTTAAACGTAAAAATAAAATAAAAAGAATATTAACCTTCCCTAGGAAGCCAAACTATTCTTCCTGCTCCTCGGCCACAAGTCCTTCAAACTCGGCAAGCTCATCCTCTTATCCCTCGCCCTCAACGCCAAGGGAACAGCATGATGGCTCAGCCTCTTCAGCTTCTTCTTCCACGCGTTGACATCCTCCGGCTCGGAGTCGTCCACCTCCGTGGCCCAGGTCGAGTCATTCACATTGACCACCTCCTCACCAGACGACTCGGGATCTTCTTCCTGTCTCGTCGTGGTAGTGGTAGTGGTAGTGACCCGGATAGCAGTAGGGGGAATAGGAGCGTCATTATCGGTCTCAGTTCCGGGGTAGGACTCCAACTCCTCTTGCTTGATGGGCGTTGACTGCCCTGGGATATCGGACTGTTCTGTAGTAGCAGAGGAGGAAGAGCCCGGTTCGGAAATCGCAGTCTTGGGGCCGATTTCCTCAAGACCATGATTGTCAGAGGTGGGCCGGAGTGAGCGGGACCAGATGTCTTCTGAGAATTGCACCGCGGGGGTGAAGCAAGGGGACATTGGGTCCAGGGCGGCGGGGTGGCCTGGGTCGTCTTCTTCGTAGATCTCCTCGTTCTCGTAAAAGTATTCTTCTCCTTCCCCGGGAGAGAAGGGGGCCGCGGTAGCAGTCAAGGGGGTCTCGTCGTAGTATTGCCCTTGGGGATGGTAATGCACGCCGGCGGTAGCCGCAGCGAGAATGGGGGGGTATTGCTGCATGATGGGGAGCAGCTGAGGAGGGAGAGGCTGGTGGACTTGCATCCAGCGGTCTCGGTTTTGGAGCTCAATATGGAGCTCGCCGAGGCGGATGAGGATGAGCTGCTCTTGCTGGGTGCTTTCGCTGATCTTGTTCTTGAGAGAAGACATCTCCCTTTTTGACTTCTTGGCCTCGGCGGGTGTCTGGTTGCCCGACATGAGGGCCTCGAGAGCGGCATACTTTTGGAAGAGCCGGGTGGCACGCTGGCCCTGCTTTTGGAGGTTGTAGACGAGGTAGGACCGCTCGTTGTGCAGCTGCTCGAGCGGTCGGGGGTCGAGGCTTTGGACAGCTGCTACATAGCTGTTCGCCCTGGAAGAGGGCGCCGTCACCGGGGCAGCAGTCCCGGGAAGTTGTGGCCGGGAACAGTCGTAGGTGTGTGACTTTATGGGTGCATTTGGCCTCGCAGCAGTCTTGCCGTTGGCCTTGGCAGCCTGGCTGTTGGCATGACCTTTGAGGTGACCGTTGATGTGGTGATCAACCTCCTCATCCCAAGTACCAATAGCCTGAGCGAGAGACGGAAGTCTGGCGCGCCCCCTCTCGGCTGGCGAAGGCTCAGTGGAATGCATCCTTCCTTTTGAGTGTTGAATACCTTACCCCGTAGAATCGATCAAGGCCGTGTGTTGCTGGTCCGAACTAGTTCAGCTGGATCAGATGAACCCCCTTGGACCCAACGAGCATCATTCATGGCCACGTGGGATGGTGAGGAGACAGAACTTAAATCTTGATGAAATGTGTAGTGGAGGCGGAGGAAGCCAGTGGTCGACAAAGAAGTTGTCACTGTGCGTTTAACCCCTGATATCAGGTTTCGAGTATCCCGCTCCTCTCTTTATGGCGGCTCACTAGCCATGAATGAGCGAGTCTACGCCACATCCACCCTCCCTTTGGTCTCCAACAAAGCCAGCCGATAGAAATCTTTAGCATTATCAAGTTTTGATCTCGACCCGCTCCTGCGTCGAAAGTTCGACAAGTTTGAGAGCCATGACGTTGACATCGTCTGATGGAACTGGCAGTGAAGGCTAAACTCCTGCCCATCGGGTGAACCGCAAACCCTCCAATGCCAGTTCGGTTCTGCCGTCTCCCCGGAAGACGATAACCTCTTCTTTTGTCTTTGCTCGAAGAATCGCAGCGTATTCGTACCTGGTGTCCCGAACCATCCCCTCTTTCTCTCAGAGCATGGGCTGCCACTTTGGTCTTGTCGGATGGCTATTCTCGTCGTGTCTACGTCCGCAGCGATGCAGTTGGCATCAGCTATTGCATGAACTTAGAAGATGCCAACACAAATTGATATCGAGTGATAGTCGGGAGCTCCTTCCCTCAAACTCCACATGTGCCTTCCCAATCTGCTACCAGTCCATAGACAAGGAAGGTGCTCCCCAACGTCACTCGCTTCCGGTTCCTTCCCAGTACAGGTAGAACATCATATCAGACCTACCCCCATAGGCAATCATTCCTTGAATATAGCTCCCTCCAACGTACTGACCTCATATACCACTACCGATGCCTCTTCATTCATCGCTCTGATCTCTCTCACCTCCAAGATTGCCGGACAGCCTGCCAGCCCCTTCCACAAAGAACCCCTCTGCCATCGCATCTCGTCACCTCCCATCATCGGCCACACCGACCCGTCACACACCTCTCAGGCACCCGCTCCGTCTCAATCGGGCCCTCAAACCCATCGTCCCACACATCATCATCGTCGTTGTCGGCCGGCCCGTCCGTCTCTTCCTCCCCGATCTCCACGTGGAAAATGAATGAAACCGATGCCATTGTCATTTCACCACCCTGTCTGGGCAACCGTCACCATGGTGTCTGCCACGTTTTGTTTCACGATTTCATGGTCGTCGGGTCGGGACCGAAGAGGAGGTTTTGTTGGATGATGTAATCCTTTTTTCTTGATTTTCTTGCTGCATAAAAATTGGGGAGTTGATACCGAGATGGTTGATTCGGTCCCGGCAGGAACCATGGCCATGGTCATTTTCGAGTTGTGAATTTTGATCATTGATGACTACCTGTGGCAGAGACCAAACAGGTGAGATTTCCGATGAGGTGAATTGGGCGCTGTTTGTTGATGATGGACATGGTAATGAAGGGCCGCTGATGGTGTCTTGTGGAAGTAACCCCAGAAGCAAAAGACATGGGTGTTGATGACGAAGCGTGATAACTGGTAAGTATACTAGGTGCTTTGCAATGATTGATGACATGATATGATGATGATTCTTATTAATAATACCCCCGGCAAAGAGATTGACAATAATCGACAAAAAACAACAGACACAAAAACAACTAGTAAAATATCCAAGACGATGTTGTGAAAAGAAAAAATAACCCCCCTCCCTTCCAAAATAACACCTTATATCGCGACATCCAAAACATTTTTTTTTCTTCTCTTACTCATCCCCAACCAACATCCACACACCCCTTTTATTACATAGCAGCCAGCTCATTATCAATCTCCTTATCCATAAACGTCCTCTTCACCCCTGTAATCTCGCACTGCAGCCTCTGCTCGACCAACGCCCTGACCTGCTTCTTGGTCACATTGTCCAAGTCCACCTCCCTCATCACACTCCGGATAGCCTCCACAATCGCGTGCTCGTCTGGGCCCTGACCCAAGCCACGCTGGAAGTCAAAGGACCCGGTGGAGGCGTGCCCGAGGTCCGAGTGCATGCCCAGTCTGCTTGGCCCGCCAGAGAGCATAGTCCCGGTGGACATCCTATTGCCCGCGAGACCCCCCGGGACGGCGAGGTTACCACCGCCGCCTATTGGCGGGGTTCCTGTCATAGTGCGGAGGTTGGTCACGCTGGGGCGAGAGCCGGGGTAGTCTTGATAGGGGGAGTTGGAGTGTCTGCGTTGCATTTCTGCCGCGGTGCCCATTGATAGCATTGACTGCCGGTGGGCGAGGGGGTTGTCAGAGTAAGGGGTTGCGCCGGCAAAGGTGCTGGTGCGGGTCATTGGGCCGCCGGGAGTGAAAGGCGTGCTCGGGGTGGGGGGCATGTAAGCGCCCGCACCGCGACCGGGGAGACCAGTCAGGACGGAGGGCTGGCGGATGGAGGAGTAGACTGACTTCATGTCGTCCATTTCGTATTGCTCGTTGAAGACGTTCATGTTCTCGTCCATGACCTTCTCCCCGTTGTAGCCGCGGCGGCCTGGGAGGCCGTTCATGGTCGCGTAGTCGTCCCACCGTTGGAGGGGGATGGAGCGAGGGTCAAAGCCCTCGTCGTCGACGGCGACGACTTGCTTTTTGCCCGATTCCCCAATGACGATGCGGGTGTTGCCCCAGGTGAAGTTGTCTTGGTTCCAGAAGGAGTAGATTGGGAGGATGAAGGAGTAGATTGGGAAGGCGAGGATGTAAATGATCATCCAGCCTACGTGCTGCCATTGACGCTTGAGGATGAAAATCAGGGCTTGGAGGCCGTACACGGCTGCCAACATGATGATGGAGATCAAGGGGAACTGGCCGGTGCCGGAGATGACCGTGTACAAAAGCCAGCCGAGGTAGACGCAGGTGGCGGGGAGGATGATGGTACCGGTGAGATCGATGAAGACGACGAAGCGCATGGAGAAGAAACAGAAGCCGCACATCTCGGGGAGGAACATCAGCTCGACCAGGTTGTGGATGGTCGAGTTGATCCAACGACGACGCTGAGACAGGAGAACGGACCACTTGTCGGGGGCGGCGGTTTGGCAGTAGGCGTCGGGGATGAACTTGTAGGACATGTAGGGGAAATATCTGGTCATGAGTGTGGTGAGGTAACGATCCTCACCGAGAGAGAGCAGATTCTTCTTGTGCAGGGTGTCGACGTGGCAGTCGCTGTAGTCGCGGATGACCTCGTCGGAAATGATCAAGGGCTTGCCACGGTCAGCGGTGCGAAGACGGTACATGGTGAAGCTGGGATATTGTTAGTAAAAATCCACGAACAGCACTCAATGAAGAAAAACATACCAGCCCGGCAGACAGGTAACGCTGCCGAAGAGAGACTCGAAAGCCTTGGCGAGATGATGAGAGATGTAGTACTCATAAACCTGAATCATAGTCCACCACGAACGCTCCTCATTCTGCAAGCTCGTCTCACCGCAGATACCAGCAATCTTGGCGTCATTGGCACAAGCGGCAACAAGACGGTTCAGAGAGTCTTCCCGGACGCAGGTATCGGCATCAACCATGAAGAGATACTCGTACAACTCAGGGTCCACACCGATAACATTGTTGATCTGGTGGAACATCTCCAACTCGAGCGGGCTCATAGGGGCGCGGTGGTGAACACGGTTGAGGAAGCTCATCAGCAGAATCTGCGAGTCACGCTTGCCACGATTACCGGGCTTGGTCTTGTCCTGCTCAGAGGGCTTGCCAACCTTGACAACCACAAGATAGGGGACCACGTTGCCTTCGTACTCGTAGAGACCAGAGTAGACCTTGCCATAGTTGAGCTGTTCGCTGCCCGCACCGACGGACTTGAAAGGCAGGGCGGGAGGATCTGTCTTGGGGTCGACACCGAGAATATCCAAGACGATCTTGGGGGTGGGCCGGTCGTTGCCTTCACCGACAATGACACCGTCGCAAATGACGCAGATCAACTTCCTCTTGTTGTCGTACTGAAGAGCCGTGAGAGAGTCGAGAGCTTTCCTGAGAGAATCCTCGCCTTCAGTGTAGGCGGGCACCTGGCAGATCACGAACTTGTCCTGCGGGGACGGGCGTCTCTTGGAGCCGAACTGCAAGGCAGACACGAACTTGATCAAAATGACAGCGCAGATCATGCAAGAGAAGCCGAGCAGAATCCAGTTGTTGACCTGGCACCTGGCGCTGTAGCGGAAATCGGGGGTACCAACGTAAAACCGGTTGTTCAGGCAGTTCAGCGTGTTGCCGATGTTGTTGCCCTCTGTCGTGTTGGCCTTGGCCCAGATGTTGGTGATTTGCTCAGTGAGGTCCTCGCCAGGGTTGTTCTTGACCAGGTTGGTGAGCTGGGTGTTGAGGAAGGTGTATCTGGGGATGTTCTCGTTGTACTGCTGGGTGTCAAAATAATCGCTCAGGTCATACACCTTGCCCTCATAAATGAACCAGTATTTGTTCTCCTCGCGGCCTGCCGCCTTGATCTTGTTGGAATCCCAGACCAGCTCTCCGTGGTAGAATTCCTTCATGCGAGGCAAGAACCTCTTGGTATACCAGTCAGCATCCGCCATTCTACCAGTGCCACCAAAGCCAGACTTGTGGATGGCGTTGGCGTTCTCAATCAGGGAGTCGTTGGTCCGAAGAGCAACTCTGTCATCCTCGATGCCGAGTCTGGGGCAGGCAAGCAGCAGCGGAATCTCGATGTAGGGATCCATGTCGGCGCCTCCCATAGGCTGCATGAACTCCCTGTTCGTGGGTTGTCTCGAGGTGCCGTGGTTGAGCTTCCAGAACTTTGTAATGTCGTATACCTTGCCACGGTGACTGACCCAAAAGTCATCTTCTCCGTTGTGATTAAGAACCTCGTTCCGCGTCCAGGCCTTGTCGAAGTTGGGGCAGAGTAGCTTGCCGAAGAAGATGATCCAGAAAACGATGATGGCATTGATGAAGAAGATGATGAAGCAGAGAACAAGCTTTTCACGCCAGGCCATCCGTACGTCAGGTCGCTTCATACGACCAACCCATTTGAGGAGAGGTGATGGGATCCACCACGTCAAGGCCCAAACGACAAACACCCAGATCTTTCTGGATGTCTCGATCGGTCGTTCCTCGATGTGCTTTCCAGCGGCGAGATCAGGGTCGAGATCACCAGCGAACTGGTCCACGCCATTGTAAAAGACCTGACCCTTGTAGGTATCGCCCTTGGTACCGAGACCATAGTCACCAGGGGTGGCATTTTGCATGCCCGTCATGGCGGTGGGGGCAATGGATGGGGCTCTCATGGCTTGAACGCCACCAACACTGGGCTGGCTCATGTTCCTCTGGTGGACACCCACAAGCTGATCGTGGCTGCCATTGAAGGACGAGTTGGCAAACGGCTGCTGTGGTGGGAAAAACCCGCTGCCGGTGGCAGAATACCCAGACCCGACTGTTGGAGGCATCATGTTAGGCATGCTTCCCAATCTCTCCTCCATGGGCTTGATATCCAGCATCGTTTCCGCCTCCCACCAGGCATTTTCCCTCATCCAGACGCGCTCAGAACCAACCACCACCTCGCCGTTGCTCCATCCGCGCTCCAGAATCCAACTTTCAATGCCATCACGGCCCTCGGTGCATCCAAGAGCGCGGAACCGCTGCACAAACTCGTCAAGGTCGAAATCGGCCGTGAAGTCGAGGTGCTTGTTGCGGCGGTTTGCCCACTCTGGTAACCTCCACGCCCGGAGCTGGCGAGATACCGTGCCGGCAGACCAAGCAGAGTTTACAGACGGGAGAGCAGCCAAGCTGGCTGGAGATTCATCTGTGGGGTGAATAGAAAGGTGATACCACGCTCTGCTCGCGCCGAGAATGGCAGAGATATCCAAACGACCAATACGGCCGAGGTTGATGCCCTCGGCGGGCACAGGGAAGAGAAGCTGCTTGATGAAGCCATCGTCCTCAGCCGAGTGGCCGATCTTCTCGAGCACCTCCTCCCTCTTCTCGAGCGCATGCTGCCTTTCCCTCCCTTGCGTGCCAACCATGATTCCAAGCTCGGGCCCGCATTCAGCCACGGCGTTCTGCATCTCGCGGAGAACTGAGCTTCCAGCCGGTGCGACCTCGATGCCATCCTGCTTCATTTCGGCGTTGATGCCGGTGGTATCATCAAAGATGCCACGCATGGCAACGGCCTTGCCCAGATTTGGGTCAGGAACCTCGAGCACCGTCAAGCAAACAGTGTCGCCACTGTCGTCGTTGGCAGAGGGCGTCCTGCTTCCAGCCTCGGCACCCATTTGCGCGGCAATTGTCTCGTTGGCCTTCTTGATGACCCAGTCGACCAATGCCTCGTAGAGTCCACCGATGAAGATGGAGCGGTCGTCGGTGGTGCACTGCTTGGCCAGGATTTCAGGCTCCAGACCGAGAAGACCGCCGACATCCTCACAGATGTCGTCCAAAACATCTTCATCCACGTTGTAGTCGATTGTGTTGCCCAACTTCAACAGACCAGCGAGAGTCGAGATGAACTTGCGGTGCGAGGATCCCTTGATGCCGATTTCCTTGAGCGCAGACCGGAAGTCATCAGCGGCAGCGCCGTCATCGGCAGTGGGGAGGTATGATGGGGGGTCATGTGTGCCGGAGCGAGCAAGGAGGCTGTAGTGAGAAGCCGCCTTGAGGCCAAGGAATTCCCTCTCGGCTGGCGTGGAGGCAGAGGTGAGAAGGTAGTAAAACACGTCAAATGCACGGTGGCCGGCCTCCTGAGGAATGCGAAGGAGACCCTTCTCTGTGTCAATGCCTCCCTGGGCAAGGGCGATGGATGCCGCGGTGAGGTTACCCGTCAGGTTCAGCGTCAGGGTTACACCAAGAGCCGTTTGTCTCGGGGTCGATGGGTTGTGTGGTGTCACGCAGCGCAAAAATGGCTCGAGGGCACTGAGAGCGGTGAGAAGAACGGGAGGGATCGAGACGGGGAGAGAGGATAGGAATGGTCGTAGTAGCGAGGGTGTAGAGGTGTGAAGAGACCTGGTCGAGGTTAGCAAACCATGAACAGCTGCTGGTCATCTAACGACATGATAGCAACTCACCCCAGAATAATGCAACCATCTTCAGCGCGACGGCGAGCATGTTCCCACGCTCTGGCTGCCAGGGCAGCATCAACAGTCCCTCCGGCGCGCCCATCCGGGCCTGCTAATGAGGCGGTTAGCCATGTGTTGACGACGAGGCTAGTCCCGGCATCGAGCCGGTACGATTGTCCCGAGAGGTAAATGTTGTGGACGGCATTGAGCAGGGTGGTGGTGGAAACCTGGGATGGCTGCTGTCCGGCACCTCGAGGCCCCAATCCCGGTTCTGAAGCCATCGAGTACATCGACATGCGGTTGGCCATCTTGTCGATGTGGAAGAGTGCGGCGCCCCTTGAGGGACACTGCTAGCCGGGTGGTGTTGTTCTCTGGCTGGCCAACCCAGGAGAGGATAGGAGTAGCGAAGGGGTGTTTGTGTTGCGTCACCAGATGTGTCGACGACAGCGAGAGTGTAGAATCTCCAGCAGCAGAGGCGGAGGGGTTCGAGCGAGTGTGCGTACGAAGGCGTTGGATGTTGTGGTGGGTAAAGGCGTCACAACCTGCAAGCAAGTTCGTCCCGTCGCGGCGGCAACGCGATGGAGGCGCTCAGCCTTCGGGCCCCTTTTTTCAACCGGAGCGAGCGAACACGGCGATGGGCCAGAAAATTAGGCCTCAGTACAGAGGCTCGAGAGATATCAAAGATGGACAGGAAAAGCAAACAGAAACCGCCAGAACGAGTGAGGCGGATTGTGAATATGGCAAGAGAAGGGAACAGGCGAGGAAACACCCACAACGAGCGTCGCAGTTGCAAAGCTTCAGTTTGAACAGCGCCGGGGGGGTGGTCTGGGGGGGTGTCTGTCCCAGAAAAGATCACCATCAGCTGGCAGCGGACTACGGCGGACTCTAGAGCTATCTGTCCACAAACGCCAAGGTGTTTCCGAGCCAGGGTGGAGCATCGATGGTGCATGATGTGCCGCGAAAAATTCATGGTGTTCCCGGTTCGATTTGGCCGATCCGGGCTGGAATGGCTTGATACTTGCAATTAACGGGCATTCCATCCAGATCATTCGCCCTCTTTTCGTCTGTCTTCCCTTCGGTCCTGTTGCCCGTTTGTGGAATCCAGTGAATCCCAAGATTCGCGAAACAAGCCGGTGGATCTGGCGCTGCATAACCAGCACCAGCGGGGTGGCGCGCCTGATCTGATCAGTCCGGCTCTGCGGATGCGGCAGTGGACTTTGGTGGAGGGGCAGCCACCAGCAGTGCCGTGATGTTGGGCTAAAAAAGGCATCTCGGCTGCTGCTGGAGCGTTGAATACGAGGCTGGACAAGACTCGGAGCAACGCGACAGAGCAAGTGACTGGACGTTGAACTGGTTGTTGTACGGTCTTCTCCCCACACCCACAACTCAAGACTTCTCTACGGGACACAAGCTTTCTCTTGGAAGACTCTGTGTGACGGGCAAACACGATGGACTGGCCACGACTGGGTTCCTCCTGTTCTTGTAGTGAGCTTGAGCCTGAAGATGAAGAAGAAGATATTCAGGTAACGGGGTCGGTGCTCGCATTAGCCGCGCCCCATCTCCCGCGGCCTAGCAAGGGGGCTTAAAAGGGCTTCATCTTTTTTTAGGCGTTGCCTCCTCCTCTCCCAATCTGGTTGCCCCGCAGTCTTGAAATGATGCTCTCTGACCCCCTTTTCAACACAGCCGTGACACTGCTTCTCAATTGCTTGCTTCATGAGAGAATTCGGAGCTCTTGCAATTGTGTCTCGGAGGTTGGAAGAGGCATATCCACCAGAGACGCGGTGAATATCGTCGCATTCCATCCACTGGGCCCAAAGCTGAAGACAAGTTCGGCCGATCATTCATCAGATCGAATGAAGCCAATGGCCGGGCCGAAGTTTGATTGGTTTGACTATTAGGTACAGCAAAAAAGCAATTGACACTTGGCTGTCGTCCTAACAAATCCTCCACTCGCGCAAACTGGCCATGCGCCGTAATAATGTTGTCCGTCCTCACAGGATCCTGTTTGCGCCGCCTGTGAGTCCGGATTTCAGTTCATATCGTATATTCGGTTAAGCACACCTATGCGTGCTTCCCCCGTTACAACGGACCGATGGAACGGCCAGTTGGCTGTGGTTGTAGGTGGTTGTGTCCACAGTCTCGTATGGCCGTCGCCACCAATTGTAATGATCGACTCCAGCAGTTCGTTTTCGTGCTGACGAGGTACAGAGAAAGCTCCGGCCATGTGTACCGAGGGCTTGAGACAACCATTGTGCCTCGTTGGCAATTACAAGAATTCCCCAGATTTGTTGAGAACATACAAGCATCAACAAGAGTCCCTACATGAATGTTATAAAAGCTAATATGTACTTACAGGGAGTCTTCCAAGGTGGTGATGATGCTTGCACCAACTGCGCAAACAAGGTCAAACCAAAGCGAGGCTCAGCACCCCGTGTCCGAATCTCTTGACGCCGGCCTCCACCCTGAGCCCCCTGAAATGGCCCGCTCTTTTGTGGGGGGGGGGGATCGAGTGCACAAGGCCCGGTAAGACCAGACACCGCGGGACGGCGAACGGCTGATCCTGGTACAAAGTTGCACTCTTGGAAGCCCTACGAGGAGATCTGTGATGAAAGAGAATGAAAGAACAAGAGTGCTGTATTCAGCTGAATACTCGAGAAGAACTAACGCGAAGGAATCACTGACAAGAAGAAGACAGGAATCTGAAGGGGTTCTAGAGTACGTTCCAGAACTTGTTTATTTTGAACCACGACCTGGAACTGGAACTTCACACAAGGAACAGGCGCAGACCCGCGCATGTCGCGTTAGCCCAATCAGACGTTGCCCCTGAGGGGTGTCTCGTAACGGTGTTTTTGCACCAACTGTTCATCTGACCCTCCGTAGCAGGAAAAAAACCAGTCGACTCCCTTTTTTTGCTTATGGTGCCCAGCCCAGGCCTAGCGCCGCTGTTGCAGCAATCGCCAACTCCAGGCGACTCCGGTATCCATCCGCCTGGCACATTCAATTTGTTCTTCCCTGTGCCTTCTCTCTGTCTGTCTGTCTGTTGTCTGCTGTCTGTCACCTCCTTCGATACACACTCGTTTTAGACGGCTCTTTTTTGGCACATGACGTTCGTTTTTGTTTATACCATCCTACTTAGCGCATCTCTCAGTGTCTAAATCCCGACATCTCGGGCCCGTTGTTGGCTCCTAGCTGGTTTGTTTTGCTGCTGCTCTCGACGCTGGCGAAACAGGGGGTGATTTTGGTCTAGTATAGCAACGAATTGCTTGGAACCTCGTCTTGTTTTTGCGTCTTCGACACGCATCGACGCACACACTTACGCCTGTCAGAAACAACACCACGACGCGACATATACCGCCCTAACGGATCAGCCCTGATCACGGCCGGCTTCTGACAAGAGCGCCGTCGCCATCATGGCTCTCAACCTCCCGCCCATGGGCGGGAAAGACGGAGGGGCCCACACACAACCGTCGTTGCCCTCATTGCCCAACCACCTGCAGTCCGACAGCCATGCCACCTCCCACTTTGCCAGTCGTTTCCACGTCGGCCTCCCCATCACACGCCTCTCCTCGCACGGCTTCATTGCCCTCAACACCTTCTCGACCTCCAACAAGGGGGATGGCACCAAGGACGGGTGCGCCGCGGCTGCTGCCGATGATCTCGCCGAGAGGGCGCTGCTTCGGTTGGGACACCGATCAGAAAACCAGGCCGTTTTGTTCCTGTATGTTGTTTTCTCCCGTTGCTCCTTTTTGTCGTTGTTGGTTGTTGTGTTGGCTTGACTCGTAAGAGTAATGGCGCGCTGCTTGATGGCTGACATTGGTTGATAGAGGTGAAACTGGATCTGGAAAGACCACTGTTCGCTCGCACCTTCTGACCTCGATTTTGAACCGGTCGTCCACTCCCCTGTCCCAAAAAATCTCTCTCGCCGCCTATGTCTTCGACACGCTCACCACCACAAAGACCGCGACGACGCCAACCGCGTCCAAGGCTGGTCTGTTTTACGAGCTCCAGTACAACACAGAATCCACCACGACCCCTATTCTTGCCGGTGCCAAGCTCCTGGACCACAGATTAGAACGGAGCAGGATAGCGGATGTTCCCACGGGTGAGCGCAACTTCCACGTGCTGTACTACTTGTTGGCGGGTACGGGCCCGGCCGAAAAGACGCATCTTGGCTTCGATGTGCCGGCCACGCACAGATGGAGGTACCTTGGTCACCCAACACAGCTCAAGGTTGGAATCAACGATGCCGAAGGTTTCCAGCTCTTCAAGACGGCTCTGAGGAAGCTCGAGTTCCCTCGGAGTGAGATTGCCGAGCTTTGCCAGATCATGGCGTCCATTCTGCACATTGGCCAGCTCGAGTTTGAGACGTCGTCTAGCACAACGGTGACTGGTGATGAGAGCGGTGGTTTCTCCCACGAAGGTGCTCAGACGTCTACTACGGTCAAGAACAAGGATGTTTTGGGTATTGTTGCCGCATTCTTGGGTGTCAGCTCAGTGGAGCTTCAGACGACTCTTGGGTACAAGACCAAGATGATTCACAAGGAGAGAGTCACGGTCATGCTCGACCCACAGGGCGCGAGAGGGAATGCCAACGAGCTCGCCCGGACGCTCTACTCGCTTCTGGTGGCCTACATCATCGAGACGATCAACCGCAAGCTCTGCGCTGATGAGGGCACGTTCTCCAATACCATCTCCATCATTGACTTCCCTGGCTTCCAGCAACAGTCTACCACCGGCTCGACCTTGGACCACCTTCTCACCAACGCCGCCAACGAGGCTCTGTATAACCTTACCCTCCAAAACTTCTTTGACCGCAAGGGGGAGATCCTCGAGACCGAAGAGGTGGTTGTTCCATCAACCAGCTACTTTGACAACTCGGACGCCGTCAAAGGCCTTCTCAAGCCCGGCAACGGCCTCTTGAGCATTCTCGACGATCAAACCCGCCGCCACCGCACCGATATCCAGCTTCTCGAGAGCTTCAGGAAACGCTTCGAAGGCAAGAACCCAGCCATCCAGGTCGGTGCCTCCCAAGCCAAGCTTCCCGGTTCCAACTTTTACACCACAAACGATGCCGCCAGCTTTGTTGTCAAGCACTTTGCCGGCGAGGTCGACTACCCGATCAAGGGGCTGGTGGAGGAAAACGGCGAGGTCATCTCTGGCGACCTGATGAACCTGATCAGGCAGAGCAAGAGCGAGTTTGTCGCCCGTCTGTTTGGCCAAGAGGCGCTGCAGACGGTGGTGCACCCTCAGGAGAGGCAGACTGTCATGCAGGCGTCTGTCAGCTCCAAGCCGATGCGCGCGCCCAGTA